AGAGTAGACTACAATGCCGGCTGTTCTGACTCACAGACTGTAAGTACGTTTTCATATTTAAAGGATTTGCCTCTGACGATTCAAATGCGAGTTTTGAGCAGTGTAGATTAGTGCTTGTTGTTTGTCATTTCTCCGATCACAAATGCAGACATGGTTTTGTTTATGTGTTTATGTGCAACGCAACGCATAAAAAGACAGTATAAGTCATTATAATCAGTAATTATGCCCCCACTGGATGCAACAAATGCCTCGTTTATGGGTTTTAATGTTTTTGTCTCATCGCTCCGGGACACGGCATCACAGTATGGTAAGGGGCATAACAATTTCCGTCACATGCTTGAGGTATTCGGCCAATCACAACGCACTGGATAGCTGGCCAATCAGAGCACACCTCGCTTTTCAGACCGATGAGCTTTGTAAAAATCTATGCATTTCAGAAAGATGGGGCATAGAGGAGAAAAAAATTATGTTTTTTGAACCATATAAATATTTAATTACACCAAATACACAAAATAATGTTCTTTTTAGCAACATCATATGACCCCTTTAAGTTTGGGTTGACTGCACAGAGGACTCGGATGAACAGAGTTTTTTTATTTCAGCTTTGCTGAGAGTTCCAAGCTGCATTTTTGATGCCACACGTCACTTGTTCAAGGACTTGGCCGTAATATTCAATAATGCTAGCTGATAACTCTCACATTGATGAAATACCATCTGCCATTCTAGTTTGTTTGCAGAGGAAAAAAAGGAAGAGACAACATTTTAAAAGAAGAGGACTTTTTTATTGATCTATATTTTCCAAAACAAGTCAGGTTTTCTCCACCAAAAAATAAAAAAAAATGTATATTTTCTTTCACTGGCCATTAATTCAAATTAACTCTACATCTTATATGTAAATGACCTCTGTTATGATAGCCCATTGTATGAAATGAGCAACAATGCTGGTTGAGGATGGGAAAAAAGATGGATTATTGGGAAAATCAAACGGTATCACACACCTTCAGCAGAAACTGGGTCTGTTTTGCAGGACCTCACAGTGACCATAGCTTTTTTAGAAAGATCTGTCCCTGTCCTCCACACACGGACTTCAACGTGGCTGTCGCTCTCATCAACGTTATACTCCTGATTGCCAAAATAGAACACAGGGGCTGTGGGGGAAAATAAGCCAAAAAGATAAACAAACTTCCATAAATAATCAATTTCAATGAACTGATTTTTTTCCATTAATTTTACAGTCATTTGTAATCACTAAAAAAACAAAAATGGTTTATTTTATTTAATGATCATTATCCTGTTATTATTCTTTATTTAATTGCCATGTTAAATTCTCTTTTATATTGTTTATTGTTATCTTACAATATTCCTTTATCATAACTAAACATAACTTTAATATATTTTCTTTTGAAGGATATGAAAATATGTAAGCCTGTAAAATCCAATTAAATACAATGTTCAAAAGTTTCACTGTTAATGTTCGCAAGTTACAAAAGTGCAATGTAAAACCAGTTTAAGAAGTATTTTATTGCAGAACATAACTAAGAAAAAAGTTTTATTCATTACAGAATATTAATGAATTTTCCAGCCATGACCTTTAAGGTTTAATTAATTCAAGTGTTATTTTCAGATGTATATTCCGTGACCACAGGAACCCTGTTGATTGCAAATATTGAAATTATAATATATGTACGAACCCTCTAAATCAATCTTCCTTCCTCCTTTTTTATTCTGTGACAACCAAGAACACCTTATTATTTACATTTAATTGTAACAGTAGAGAAAAACCCTTGAATAAATCATGTACTGAATAGTAAATCAACCTCCTACCAAGTAATAAAAGCTGCATGACAGCTAAAACCAGCTCTGTTTCATAACCTACAGCTCCACCATCTCAACACCACTGTTCAGTTTGCCGACTGAACAGTGGACGCCGGTTTCTATGACAACAAACTGACACCTTGTATGGATGTTTGTGTTTTTCTCACCCATGGCGTCTTAAGAGCAGAGGTCCCTGGGAGAGGATTCAACAGCTGTCATCTCACATTATCTACAGGAAGCCACTTACAAAGAAATGCCTGTAACCTCTCTGTTCAGAACACACTCCAAACATAAGATCAGGTCACAAATTGCAGGGTTTAATCTGAATAGATTCATCTTCATGATAATACAAGGTATAAATACCAATAATACTTGCCCTGGACTAAGATTTTGTGGATGTTTCTATATATTTCTGATAACTAACAGACCAAAACATTTATTATTTTAATTTTTTACAGCCGTGGCGTATTAAAAATCATTTTCATAATTGAAACAAAGGTAAAATATAAATATCAAATGAAAATTTGAAATGTTGACTTGGCAAGTAAAAAGACTATAAAATAATTGAAATAAAAATGAATGCTATCTGAAAGCTTGTTTCTGCCATTGAATAAAGGTAATTGTGACTTTTTAACTCAATTCAGATTTTTATTTTCTCGCAATTATGAGTTTACATCTCGCAGTTCAGACTTTTTTCTCAGAATTGCGTGATGTAAACTTGCGATTCTGGCTTTTTTCTCAGAATTGCGTGATGTAAACTTGCGATACTGACTTTTTCCTCAGACTTGCGTGATGTAAATTTGCGATTCTGTTTTTTTCCTCAGAATTGCGTGATGTAAACTTGCGATTCTGTTTTTTTCCTCAGAATTGCGTGATGTAAACTTGCGATTCTGGCTTTTTTCTCAGAATTGCGTGATGTAAACTTGCGATACTGACTTTTTCCTCAGACTTGCGTGATGTAAACTTGCGATACTGACTTTTTTCTCAGAATTGCGTGATGTAAATTTGCGATTCTGGCTTTTTTCTCAGAATTGCGTGATGTAAACTTGCGATACTGACTTTTTTCTCAGCATTGCGTGATGTAAACTTGCGATACTGACTTTTTTCTCAGAATTGCGTGGTGTAAACTTGCGATTCTGACTTTTTCCTCAGAATTGCGTGATGTAAACTTGCGATACTGACTTTTTCCTCAAAATTGCGTGATGTAAACTTGCGATTCTGGCTTTTTTCTCAGAATTGCGTGATGTAAACTTGCGATTCTGACTTTTTCTCAGAATTGCGTGATGTAAACTTGCGATTCTGACTTTTTCTCAGAATTGCGTGATGTAAACTTGCGATTCTGACTTTTTCTCAGAATTGCGTGATGTAAACTTGCGATTCTGACTTTTTCTCAGAATTGCGTGATGTAAACTTGCGATTCTGACTTTTTCTCAGAATTGCGTGATGTAAACTTGCGATTCTGACTTTTTCTCAGAATTGCGTGATGTAAACTTGCGATTCTGACTTTTTCTCAGAATTGCGTGATGTAAACTTGCGATTCTGACTTTTTCTCAGAATTGCGTGATGTAAACTTGCGATTCTGACTTTTTCTCAGAATTGCGTGATGTAAACTTGCGATTCTGACTTTTTCTCAGAATTGCGTGATGTAAACTTGCGATTCTGACTTTTTCTCAGAATTGCGTGATGTAAACTTGCGATTCTGACTTTTTCTCAGAATTGCGTGATGTAAACTTGCGATTCTGACTTTTTCTCAGAATTGCGTGATGTAAACTTGCGATTCTGACTTTTTCTCAGAATTGCGTGATGTAAACTTGCGATTCTGACTTTTTCTCAGAATTGCGTGATGTAAACTTGCGATTCTGACTTTTTCTCAGAATTGCGTGATGTAAACTTGCGATTCTGACTTTTTCTCAGAATTGCGTGATGTAAACTTGCGATTCTGACTTTTTCTCAGAATTGCGTGATGTAAACTTGCGATTCTGACTTTTTCTCAGAATTGCGTGATGTAAACTTGCGATTCTGACTTTTTCTCAGAATTGCGTGATGTAAACTTGCGATTCTGACTTTTTCTCAGAATTGCGTGATGTAAACTTGCGATTCTGACTTTTTCTCAGAATTGCGTGATGTAAACTTGCGATTCTGACTTTTTCTCAGAATTGCGTGATGTAAACTTGCGATTCTGACTTTTTCTCAGAATTGCGTGATGTAAACTTGCGATTCTGACTTTTTCTCAGAATTGCGTGATGTAAACTTGCGATTCTGACTTTTTCTCAGAATTGCGTGATGTAAACTTGCGATTCTGACTTTTTCTCAGAATTGCGTGATGTAAACTTGCGATTCTGACTTTTTCTCAGAATTGCGTGATGTAAACTTGCGATTCTGACTTTTTCTCAGAATTGCGTGATGTAAACTTGCGATTCTGACTTTTTCTCAGAATTGCGTGATGTAAACTTGCGATTCTGACTTTTTCTCAGAATTGCGTGATGTAAACTTGCGATTCTGACTTTTTCTCAGAATTGCGTGATGTAAACTTGCGATTCTGACTTTTTCTCAGAATTGCGTGATGTAAACTTGCGATTCTGACTTTTTCTCAGAATTGCGTGATGTAAACTTGCGATTCTGACTTTTTCTCAGAATTGCGTGATGTAAACTTGCGATTCTGACTTTTTCTCAGAATTGCGTGATGTAAACTTGCGATTCTGACTTTTTCTCAGAATTGCGTGATGTAAACTTGCGATTCTGGCTTTTTTCTCAGAATTGCGTGATGTAAAGTCTGAATCACGTGAAAAATTGCATGTTATAAAGTCAGAATTATGGGATATAAACTTGCAATTCTGACTTTAATTGTGAGTTTACATCTCACAATTCTGACTTTTCTCAGTCTGAAAAAAAGTCTGGATTGCAAGGAAATAAGTCAGAATGGCAAGTTTGTATCTCACAATTCTGACTTTGTTTTTCACAATTGCGAGTTTATATCACGCAATTCTGAGATAAAAAGTAATGATTACCTTTTTTATTTTTTATTTAGTGACCGAAACAGGCTTCCAACTACACAGAAATATAAATAAAAATTACAAAAGTACTAAAACTACAATTAAATTAAAACATAACTGAAAATATAAAAATAATAGTTAGTTAAATTGAATTAATAGATACTATAATAATACTAAATACTACTACTAATAATAACAACACTTGTGTTGGATTCTGGCTCATGTAAACATACTAATCCCACAATTTTCTAACCCACTATTATTAGAGACAAAAATATGCAATTATCAATCATTTCTGCACGTCAGTTCTTGACTATTTAAAACACTGATATTAAGACAGTGAATCCTTCACATTTTCTCGTAATTGCCCAAGAAAAAGGTACTAAATTATTGTGAGTGATTTCAAGGGTGTTGCTATTTGGTTGCTAAGGCATTCTGAACATTTGTTGCCATGTTTTTGCAAGGTGAATTCTTACTGGACCACGTCTCTAAAACATTCTCATCCCTAGATACAGCTTGAGACATTTTTTCAAAGCACAAACATGATTTCAATAAAATTGAAAGTACAATATTCATGGTTAAGATGTTTTAAAATGATTCAAATGTTGAAAATGAGGGGAAGCATTAAAAAAGAATTTGTGTGTTGAAATATTCACAGCCGCATGAGACGAAGGGTGAAGCTGAAGGTTAAAGCCCCTCAGGGTAAAAGCTCATACACAGAATATTTAAAACACTGATATTAAGACAGTGAATCCTTCACATTTTCTCGTAATTGCCCAAGAAAAAGGTACTAAATTATTGTGAGTGATTTCAAGGGTGTTGCTATTTGGTTGCTAAGGCATTCTGAACATTTGTTGCCATGTTTTTGCAAGGTGAATTCTTACTGGACCACGTCTCTAAAACATTCTCATCCCTAGATACAGCTTGAGACATTTTTTCAAAGCACAAACATGATTTCAATAAAATTGAAAGTACAATATTCATGGTTAAGATGTTTTAAAATGATTCAAATGTTGAAAATGAGGGGAAGCATTAAAAAAGAATGTGTGTTGAAATATTCACAGCCGCATGAGACGAAGGGTGAAGCTGAAGGTTAAAGCCCCTCAGGGTAAAAGCTCATACACAGAATACACAGGCGGAATCTTCAAGCAAACCCATTTCAGGACTTATCACAGCATACATGAACTGTGCTGAATCATCCGAGCATTATACTCAGTAGGGCTAATGAGGGATGATTCATGTGCAAAGCAGATGAATGACGGCATCTGCACCACAGAGAGCAAACTTGCAAAAGATTCAATTTTATGAAGAAGATACAATTAGACAAAGCTGCAAATTAT